GAAGCTTTGGATTGCTTCAAGGAAGTTGGACTGCTGCCGTTTGTTACTGACCAAGAGCATTGGAATGAAGAGTTACTACTCCAATTCTATGCCACACTTCACATTCGCGGGTACAGCAGAGATCCGAAGACTTGGGTCCTGGAGTGGATGACAGGAAACATTTATCACGAAGCCAATTCATTTGACATCATTGAGCTTACTGGTTTGCCCACTCCTGGCGATCTCTACGAGCATGGCTGTCAGCTTCATAGTGAAGCTATTGAGAGCATCTTTCAGAAGCCTGAACCTAATATGAGTCAGATGCTCAGCATGATGAAGCCATTGCCCCAAGATGCTGCTTATCCCACAGAGTTCTTCGTTGAAGACCTTGAGTATCTGCCAAGAACCATCTATCACATCATCAGGCGAACTCTCTGGCCCATCAAAGGGCACTCTCCAAATGCCAAGCTTGAGGGTGCAATGAAGACTTTGGTCTTCTATATTCTTCATGGAAAATGCTTCAATGCACAGGACTTATTCATTCGTCAACTTGCTGCATCAGGCTCTGATCTGTTTGGCTTGAAGTTATACGCCCCATGGGTAATGCGGCTGATCAAACTTCACTCCACCATCTCATATCAGCCATCTGCTCGCAATCATCGAATTTTTCTGCCTGATGTGGATATGTCTATTGAAGCCATCTATCCTGAGCCTGCCAAAGAACCTCTAAGTCTTCAGAATGCAGAGCATCAGAGTTTCTCTCAGAACATTGAAGGAGTTGAAGCAGTCACTTGTGTGTATCCTTTGGCTGGCACTACACGTGCACCACATCCTACTTCCACTGAAGCCACTGATAGTACAACTGCTCCATGACCCAAGAAGCGCACTCGTGTTCTCAACAATCGAGAGCTTCTTGTGGCTCTTCATCAGAAACATGATAGGCATCATGACTGGCTGAAGCGTCAGATGCAAAGCCTCTTGGTGGATGTTAATCGCATTTGCAATCTTGCCACCAAGAATGCTTTTGTTGCCCATGAAACCTCTCGCTGCACATGGAAAGGGCTAACAATGATGTGTTCTAAAGATGATCTTTAAGAGGATGGCTTCACTGAGCGTTTCAAGTTTGACTCCACACCTCCTCGAAGGGCTGTGCTGCGACGAACTCCATCCCTTGAAGACTCTGAGTTCTCTTCCTCTGCTGCAACTGTGACTGCCAGAGTCATCGAGGATGAAGACGATGCTACTTCACCGCCACCTCCTTCAGCACGCTTCAACTCTGCTCCAAGCTTTTCAGCACCGCCAAACACCACCAACGACCCTGCTACTTCACCTACTCCTCATGGGAACGAGTAGATGCTCTATGTCTTCAAACCTTTTTGGTCCTTACTGGCAAAAGGGGGAGAAGCATATGAGGTTGATAGTCTTCAAGCAGGTCCATATGGGCGGGTGCTTTATATTTTGCTTCGTGCTTACAACTCTCGTTTTGCTACATTTGGTTCTTTGAGTTGTAACACTTAAACTCGATGGTCGTCTGCTACTTATCTGCCACCTTATTTTGCGATGATAAATTCCGCATGTGCGACGATAAATTCCGCACTTAGATCATTTTGCAGACGTCCATTTTCCATTATGCATGTCATTATCTTCATATACTTTCACATGCATAGTGAATTGTCATCATAAGTTGAAGTGGATCTCCACAAGTACAACCTGCCATGTGCATTTGCATTCCAAAAGCAAATTACTTATATGCACATCTTCGGGGGGAGCCCTTGCAACTTATGAAGACAATTCCTTATCCTTTACAATTCCACAGATTATATTCCCCGTTGAAAACTTCAACTAGTTTGTCATCAATCACCAAAAAGGGGGAGATTGTAAGTGCATCTAGTGCCACCCCTAGTTGGTTTTGGAGTATTGACGACAAACCTAGTTGTGGGACTAATGTGTTTGTGAGAATTGCAGGATAACACAGGTAGAAGTCCCTCATTGATTCGGTTTTCCTACCAGAGATGACCCCTAAAAATGTATGAAGACATTGAAGTCAAAGGTGATATATGAAGATATTCACATTGAAGACTATGACAGGAGAAGACACCACATGAAGCCTATGGAGCTCGAAGACTTAGATCTTTCGTAGTTCTCTTTCTTTTGTGTTGAGTCATAGGAACCACCGTACTGTTAAGTGGGGTCCAAGAGAACCAGTCAGAATGACTGAAGTGATGCCTAACCAAAACCTATGTCTTCGAGTGAAGACTATGAGAGTGAATCTTGTCCAGAGTCAGACAAGTCAGCTTTGCTTGCAGCCCAAGTAAAGTTGTCGTGTGAGTTTGAAATCTGACCGTTGGAACACGTGTCAGTTCCTTAGTGACCCAGGGTCATTTCGGACAAATCAGGTCGGGTTGCCAAGTGGCTATAAATAGCCCACCCCCTACAACCATAAACGGTTGGCTGCTCAGATTGAGAGTACGGCTTTTGTCGTTTGAGAGCAACCCACCTCGAAGCCTTTGAGAGAGAATTCCTTGCGAGGATAAAGCCCTAACCACCCAGAGCCAAAGAGAATTAGGCATCACTTAAGTCTTCTTGTATGTGTGATCTGAAGACTTATTACACTTGAGGACTGTGCATCCTCCAGCCAGTTAGGCGTCGCGTTCTGAGCATCCAAGAGACATTGTGGATTGCCGGTGAACGAAGTCTGTGAAGGTTTGGGAGTCTACCTTGAAGACTTACCAGAGTGATTGGGCGAGGTCTGTGTGACCTTAGCTCAAGGGGAATACGGTGAGGACTGGGTGTCCTGAGCTGCGTGTTCAGGACTGGGTGTCCGGGACTGTGTGTCTTAAGGTTTAAATATCTAGCCACCCTAACCAGACGTACAGCTGTCACAGCAACTGGAACTGGTCTAACAAATCATTGTCTTCAGCGAGTCACTGGTTTCATCTTCCCTTCCCTTTACTTACTATTACTCCTTGTGAAGTCATTGTATGTTTGCACTATCTTTTGTCTTCACTGAGTGACTGCGTGTTCTGTATGGTTTCATAATATCTTCTTACCTGATCCTTACTACATTGCTGCTATTAAGTCATTGTGCTTTCACTCTAATGAATACTTGACTATGGCTTGCCTAGTGTAGTCTACCTTCCGCTGCAGGGTAATAGGTTTATTTCTATCGTTTGTCTTCATAACTTTCACGTATTGAAGACTTTCATAAAAATCGCCTATTCACCCTCTAGTCGGTATAACGCACTTTCAAGAGAGGAGTAGGGCTAACCTTGTTCTTCTTCCTCCTCTAGCAAAACAGCTCAAGGAGCAACTTGTAGCTACTCTATTTGATCATAATCATCATGCGGAGACCCCGCAGAGCAGCACTATGGGTGTTATCTCCACGGAGAACCCTGAACCTGGGTAAGATTCGCAGGCGCGTGTGGTCTCGCTCACTCCCGCTTCTAGAGCCCGGCGACGTACTCTTGTCCCTCTCCATGATTAGCCACCCTCTGGCATATGTCGCTACAGACCCCCGACAATTCTTTCCATATAGTCTCCATTCCGATGGTGCGTCTAGCATCGTCGGTAGGCATGTGGAGGCGTGTCTCCGGTGGATCTGTCTTTTGATGGATCCGCTCGGATCTGGTCATCATTCGCTTTCGCCTGTGTGTCTTTAGATTGCATCCTTCCGATCTACGCTACTTTTCATCGGGGCGGTCGTTGTTCTGGTGTGCTGATCGCCTGATCCTACGGGGCCTTAGCACGACGACTTCCCGACTGTTTATTACAACAAGTTTTGCTCGGCTCCGGCGAGGGAGGGGCGATGACGGTGATGCGCTTTCGACTCGTTTCAATGCTTTTAGTCGCCGCTAGGTGGTCTACGAATTTAGATGTAATTTTTATTATTTTTGGTATTTGTTATATTGAACGTGAATATATCAGGATTTTTGGGAAAAGAAGAGCACCAGAGTATCGAGGTCAGAAGGATAAAAATAACATAAAGAACATTCTCAGGATTCTCAACAAAATTATTAGCGCTTAGAAAATGCAAACCCACCGAGCACGCTCGCTCGTGAGTGCGTGCTGCACGTTTCGTTCCCCGTTCCTTTCTTTCTTTACTTGTTTCTCAGGCCCCATGTGATCGACTCGGCATCAAGGCAGGCCGACGCGCAAGCCAACCAGATCCGCACACGCTTTGGACCACTCCACTCCGCCTCTCGCTGCTCCCTTTCCTCCCTCTCCCCCCTCCCAGTGGCGCGGCGCCG